AGCAAAAAGAAAAAAAGCTGGAAGTGGGGCTGTGGCTCAAGTGGTAGAGCGCTAGCCTTGAGCTGAAGAGCTGAGGGACAGCGCCCAGGCCCAGAGCTCAGGCCCCACGACCGGACCCCCCCAAAAAAACAAAAACAGTGGAATAAAATATTAGCTATTAGATAATTAGCATTCTTACTGTCCATCAATAATACATTCAAGTCCTATGCCATTCAGCGATAGGGAAAAACTGATTTTTTAAAAAGTATAGTGATAAGCTAATCCATGTGTTAAATTATTTCAAAGCAGATTAGGCTACTATCATCATCTTGGAGAACTATTGCAAGACTTTCTAATTAGATTCTGATAATACTTTCCTGTAATTTAACTTCCAATCATTTTGCTGACATTTTAAAATATCAAATTAATGACGTTGATTCCTGAAACTATTACCTAGTGATGGTAGATAGTATGATAGATAAGAACCTTTCATAATCATTCCCTTAATGTCTTTTCCTATAAAACATTTTTGTATTTTCAAGTAATAAATCTACTTATATAGCATTCTCCAAATAACAGAGTATACGTTCAGCCACTTATCCACCTAGGAAAATTTCATTTAATCCCTTAGTAATCAACAAGTTTTTCAACAAATACCACTAATTTAACCATTCCTTTTTCTGCTTCCATAGCATCTTATATAAATTTCTTAAAACATTTACATAAAAGCAACCATGTGACTATTTCCTACCTAAAAACCCTAACCAAATTTAAATGCTCTTTTGGCCTAGTAATACCATCATTCAAGAAGAGAGAATAACCTGGGTGCTGCTGGCTCATGCCTGTAATCCTAGCTACTCAGGAGGCTGAAATGAAGATCAAGGTTCAAAGCCAGCCCGGGCAAGAAAGTCTGTGACACTTTTATCTTCAATAAACCACCAGAAAACCGGAAGTGGCCCTGTGGCTCAAATTGTAGAGTACTCTCCTTGAGCTGAAGAGCTGAGAATCAGTACCCAAGCCCAGAGTTCAAGCCCCACGACCGACCAAAAAAAAAGTAAAAATAAAAAAAGAGAAGACATAATAAAAAATACATGCTAAATCTTATGTGAATACAGTGCATAGATGCCTGGTGTTTGGGGGAGGGCAAAGAGCAAGCTTTCATGGGACTCTGAAAAAGACTAATGTGTTAAAAAAAGGTTGAGAACCACTGTAGTGAAATGATTTTCATTTCCACATAGCCTATTGATACTTATACTCATGAGGACTAAGCAAAGACTGGCTCTAATTAGATGCTCTGTAACTGTTGCATAAATGAAAATAAAACAGCAAGAATGTTTTGTTTTGTTTTTGGGTCCAGTCGTGGGGCCTGAACTCTGGGCCTGGGCACTGTCCCTTAGCTCTTCAGCTCAAGGCTAGCGTTCTACCACTTGAGCCACAGCGCCACTTCCGGCTTTTTTCTTTTTGCTTATGTGGTGCTGAGGAATCGAACCCAGGGCCTCATGCATGCAAGGCAAGCACTCTCCCACTGAGCCACTTTCCCAGCCCCAGCAAGAATGTTTTTAAGCAAGAAGTATGTTGAAAATTATACTCATGTAAATATATGTTTGTAAATTTTGTATTTATATAGTAAGTTGCTATCTGAAATGCAAAACAAATAATACTTCAAAATGTTGGTCATATACAAAACCTATTATTTTTGTTGTTGGCGGTATTGGGGTTTTACAGGGAAAAACTCAGGATTGCTAGGCAAGCATTTTAACATCTGAAGCCTACCCACTATCATAAACTCATTATATTTGAACAGAATGTATTAACAGTTACTCAAGGCTTGATCAAGTCAAGTGCACTGGCTTGATCAGAGGACCAAAGGTTAAGACTAGCCTAGGAATAAAAATTCTCAAGACTCTACCTCACTCAATAACTAGGCAAGGTGGTATGCACCTGTTATGCCAGCTACAGAGAAATCACAATAGGTGGTTGTAATGGCATGTTCCTGTAATCTTCACCAACAAGGGGAAGTGAAAGTATTTTGGAAATGACCAAGGCAAAAGAGGAACTAAAGGATGGCTTAACTTATAGAGCAGCTATATGCAAACAAAAGCTCAAACCAAAGCACAACCAAATAAAACAAACAAACAAATAAAAGACTGGATGAACTAGGTTGCAAGTGTAACTCAGTGACAGAATACGTATTTGCCCTGGCTTTAATTCCCACTATAAAAACAAAACAAAACCAAAACAAACAAAAAAACAATGTTTTTCAGTGATTCAACAAAATCATTTCTAATTTTAACATCTGAATATACATAAACTGGATAATTGAGCTGAAGAAATATAAAACTTTACTCTATAGTCACTGATAGATCAAAAATGAACATCAAATAGTCATTGCCTTCCTGTTGACAAAAATTTGTCTTCACACAGAAATTCCGTAATAATTACTTTGATAATTCTTTTTTGTTTGCTTGTCCCTCTCCTTGCTTTCTCCCTGTTTTATCCTCCCATCCCAACCCACAAGTTGTATAGTTCATTTTCAACACAGTGTACAGTGAATACCATTGTTCACCCTATCTTTGGTAATTCTTTCAATGTTCATCAGTTTTATTTTTCTCTCTTGTATATTTCTATCACTAAGAAACCTTTAATAAACTTCAGGTACAAGAAGAATATTAAAATAATCAACTGAAAATATTTACCTGTCCTTGTTTCCAACATTCTTTGAAAAGCTTCCAATTATTACTATTCTTATAATCCTTAAGCCATAATATATGCTTCTCACAGATCCAAGAATGTGGGATATCACTGTATAATTTATCATTTTCACTCATGGCATGTTTTTGGCTCTCTTTAGGGTCTTCATTAAATTCTGATTTTACATTTATCTTGGAGGTTTTATTTGGTGGAATTTTGTTTTCAACAACTGAAGCAATTATATCATCAAGAATATTAGGCATAGTCCGTCCACTTTTGCTACCCTATTAAGGGAAAAAAAAACCCTTCTGAAATTTTTTATAGGAAATATACAATTTTCATCCCATAGATTTTTTAACCTTTCATCATTTTATTAATATGAAAAGGGAAAAAATACATATTCAAGAATATGTAATTAAGCTGGTGGATATGATCCTATACTTTTCTTAACAGTTGGGGACAAGAAGTTTGGCGAATGGATGAACTTAGAAACAGAGTATTGTTGTTTTTTCTATTGATTTAGGCCTTAGGTAGAGTGTACAGGTGGAGCAGAATCCTCCATTTATTTCTAAAAACCACTAAAATTTATTTATATAAGCAATTATAATATTCTGCTTTTCCTTTTTTCTGACAAGTAATTAAAATAAAATTCTGGTACCTAGTCATTTTATGTCATTTCCATATGGTTTTGTTTGTTCTACTAGATACATGATTTTCAGATTCTAAACTATCTAAGGATTCCCCAGACCTCAAAGAGCCTTCTCTTTCCAACTTCTATCTGGGGGGTGGGGGTGGGGGTGGGAAGAAGGAAAGTGCTGCTTCCAAGTTAACTTAGAATGCATTTGAGATCATTAGCCATTTGGCTAATGATGTATATATAATTTCATCTACATATGTTTTATTAGACTGTTTACAGACAATCATTTCCAAGTCATTAAGTATCTAAACTTAAGGCCCTTATTAAAACCCAGGGACTATAAGTGTATCTCAGTAGTAAAGTGCTTACCCAGCATGTGCAAAAACAAATAAAGCCCTTGCCATCACACTCACTGCGGTTCCCATTGAATACACTGGTGCAAATGCAATGCCAGCATCTGTAGAGCCCACGCGGAGTTTCCCTGCTGTTGTGGTCAGCAGATCTCTTAAGGTTGAGCCCTGTTCATTATTCTGGGACACAGAAGGTGATGTTCTGCCATTTGGAGAATCAGAATCATCATCATCTTTTTCTTCTTTAATTTCCTTTTCAAGGGCAAATTCTTTGTTTTCTTAAAGAAAAAAGTGGCTTTTTTTTAAAGTTAATACTCGATGCTGCAGTAGAAAAAAACAGGCACCATATACTTTATAGTGAAAAATAAAAACTTAATACTAGTTCATCCAAACACAAACTATGGAGAATGGTCCACTTATATATGAAAAGGCCTTCGTGAATAATTTATAGCTAGCTGCATTAATACTAGGCACAACTGAGAAATGCCATAGATAAGACAAACATAAAATATAGGTAACAAGTTACATAGTGTTCACATGGTATCAATAAACCCAACCACAAATCATGGTACAACTAAATTTGGAGGCAATCTTTGGAGGTTTGTTCTTAGTAAAAGAAGAAAAGTGTTGTTTTTTAATTGTCAAGGTGATGTACAGAGAAGGAAGAGTTTTCTTTAAGCAATAATTAAAACTAAAGATCAAGGCAAATTATCACAAAGGGCAATAAATATTGCTGGTTGCAATATCATCTTTTAATACGTACTTTAAAAACCTGTTAATTTACCTTTTTTTTCCTGTCTGGATTTCTGTTCTGCAAGATCTGCTAACCAGTGCAGTGGTGACTGGGATTCTGGTGGAGTTAGCTTGCTTTCTGTGCTTGCGTCACTGCCTGGACTGTCATTGCCATTACTCTCAGACTTCTGAGGAGTACTCTGCTGCGGAGACTCAGGCATGCACAGAGAAACTTTATTACTGTGATTAAGAACATTCTGTAAAACCTACAAGGGAAGTTGAATTTTTTAAATGCTGTTACTTCAAATTAGTTAAAAAGTAATAGTTATAATTTACACAATGACAGAGAAAAGAATTCATAAAACACAAGTCCCACAATGGATTTCAAATATCAGAATTGATTTAATGATGTAGTTAATTTGAATACTTTTACTCACTTGCGTTACACCATTCATTGTAGAAAAATTTCCAACTTGTAAATTCTGTTTGTTAGTACAATGGCAATTTGATTTAATACCATATTTTTCCCTAAGAATGTGCATGGCATCTAGAAGATCTGTCAGCACTACAAAATAAAATAGTAATTAACGAAAGGACTACCACTAGTAACATACAACTCTTTCCTTACTGTATTTTATAATTTAGGAACAATGAAGGAGTTCTTTCAAATTCATAACTTTCTTAATACTTTTTTACTTGGTATTATCCCCTTTTAAATATCACAGAACTTACCATCTAACCAAATTTATACTTTTCTTTTTACTGTGTTATTAAAAATTGAGTTATGTTCAAAACTCTTAGAAATTTTTCATTGTAAATACAAAGATTTGCACTCATTCATTATATATCCACACATACAAAGTACTCTGATAGAACTCAACTTCATTGTCTATTTACAAATAAGTATGTAATTGTTTTTTATTATAGTCACCCATATCAATTCTTTTCATTGGCCCTCTTCCTAGTTCTAGCTATTAACTGACTTCTCTCCCCAACTCCATTAAGGAATGTTTTCCTATGATTGCCAATAACTGAGCAACACAATTCAAGATTAAACCCTAACTCTCCACTCTACTATATCCTGGCTTTAAATGTTTTATATATATATATATAAATGTGTATATTTACTTACCAGAACCAGGTATAATCTGAGTTGGCATTAAATGTTTATGGTCATGAGGTTGTCCTTTGACACACTTCATCCAAGCATACAGTTCTTTATCTGTAAAGCAGTAACATTTCAAGTCACTCTGTATGAATGAATTTGGTGGTTAGACATAAAGAGCTTAATAATTATATATAGATACAATATCAATGAAAGATTTCTAATGCTTTATTATTTTTCTTTTGACAGTACTAAGGTTTGAAACTCAGGGCCTCTGATTTGCTAGGTAGGTGATCCACTACTTAAGCCACTTCTCCCCCATTTTCTAGCTGTTTATGATAAGGTCCTACTGTTTTTCCTTTTTGGCCTGGGGCCAATCTTAGACCTCTACCTATGCTTCCCATGTAGCTGCTCAACAGCTAACCACAACAATGGTTGGCTTGTTTGTTGAGATAAGGATCTTGCTTACTTTTGCTCTGCCTGGTCTCTATATGGTCCTATAAATCTCTACCTCCCAGAAAGTGGAGATCACAGGTGACACTGGGTCTAAACAATATTTGATCGTAAAGACGTAATACAAAGAGACAATACCTTATTAATTTTGTAAAACCGGAATCACAAAATGGTTATGACAGCCCTTTTCTAAAATGATCATTATTAGTTATCAATATATTAGTCACTTTTCAATTTTCTGAGTCTAACTTCTAGTTAGGTAATTTTCTTTTCTTTTTTTTTCTTTTGGTTGGTCGTGGGGCTTGAACTCTGGGCTTGGGCGCTGTCCCTGCGCTCTTCAGCTCAAGGCCAGCGCTCTACCACTTAAGCCACAGCACCACTTCCGGTTTTCTAGTGGTTTATTGGAGATAAGAGTCTCATGGATTTTCTTGCCCTGGCTGGCTTTGAACCACGATCCTCAGATCTCAGTCTCCTGAGAAGCTAGGATTACTGGCTTGAGCCACTGGCACCCAGCTGGAAGGTAATCTTTGCAGCTCAATTACATACTATACCAAGCAGAATGTGTCTGACAAAAGTTTGATGATAAAGCTAATTCTTTTTTTTCCAAGAACTTTAACTGCTATAATTAACTATTAATTGTCATTATGCAAGACTCCATACTTGAGTCTTGAAGTGTATACACTGTATACATTTGAGGTATACAGTAGGGCATGCCAGACCCAGGAAGAATTATTCAGTACTTTGAACTCAAAGAGAACCTTCTTTATAACTTTAATGAGAACTTGTTATACAATCACAAAGCTCAACAAACTCACCAATAAAAAAAATCCCCTAAACCTAGAACTTTGGCTTCAGGAAAAACCTACATAAAACTCACATAGAGAATCTACAACTGTTTTATCTTCAAGAACTTTGACTTTTTCCCCCTAAATATAGTAATTTTTTAATATTTATATATGCATGTTGATTATCATTACATAAAACGATTTACTGTTTCATTACTGATGTAAAAAATAACAATAACAATATAACAAGTCTGATCAAGAAGCACTTGACACACAAAACATGTTATATTGCAAGTCCTTGGTGCCATCATTTGAAAATTAAAAAATAAAATTTTTAATTAAAAAGAATATAACAAGGCATATGTTTTATACATTTGAAAAGACTGATAAGTTACCTAAAAGACTTCTAAAACAAAGCTATAAATAATCAACAGCAACACAAATACCACCTAGGTTTATAGGGTTCTTGAAATGTTATGTATGGGATATACAAAATTACAATGAACTTTTAATTTAGCAAAGGAAAAAGAACCTGAGATTAGTAAAAAGGAATATAAAGTGTGTATTATGTCATTAAGTTTCACAAGAACTCAGCTAGTTTTATCAACAGACAAGACAAAACACACTTTTAAGGGATTAATAAGAAACATCCCCTCCCTGTGGTGCTGTGATTGATCACAGAATCTGAACACATTTTGGCAGATACTATATACTGAGTTGTATCTACAGCTCCTGAAATTATTTAACTGCCAAAATACATGTTTAATGTGGTTTAACATTTTATTCATATTTATTGCATATCCCAGGAAAAAAAACTATCTGTAAGTGCTCAGGGCTCTTTGCTAGGTAAATACTACATAAGAAAAACGGTGAAAGAGGGTGAAGATACTGAAAGCTAAATTATGGTCATCTCCTGATACACAACTCTGAAACAAAGAGGTTCCTGAAATGACAGAAACATCTCAAGTTCTGAGATGTTAGTCTCTCACTGAGTATTGACTTCTGATTCCCTCATTTTCACAACAGTAACCTGGTAGCAGTAGTAGATGGCCACTTCCAAAACTGCCTTGAATAAGCACTAAAACATTTTGATGCATATTTACTTCCTTTTTTGACTCCGCAGTACTTACAGTTGTTTTAACAAGAAAAAGTGCCATTTTACTTGGTTAAAAATTACAAAAAATTGTTTTAAAATACAAAATTTCTTCTGTATTCTAGGGGACAAATGGTACTACTGATAGTAGGAGATTGCTGAAATATTTTAATGAATGTTATGGACTGGTAGGCAGAAAGATCAGTTGAAGCCAGGTGCCAGTGGCTCATGCCTGCGTGTAATCCTAGCTACTCAGGAGGCTGAGATCTGAGGATTGCAGTTCAAAGCCAGCCTGGGCAGGAAAGTCCATGAGACTTTTATCTCCAATTAACCACCAGAAATGAGGAAGTGGTGCTGTGGCTCAAGTGGTATAACACTTGCCGTGAGCTGAAGAGCTCAGAAACAGCACCCAGGCCCAGAGTTCAAAAACATGATCAAAAACAAAAAAAGAAAGATCAGTTGGAATTATATGAATGATTATGAAAGAGATTGTACAAGGACTTCAGGTTTGGGTACACTGGAATTTGAAAATATTTAAAACTAACCTAAATTTGATCTACAGTGACAAACTATTTACAGGCCAAAAGAAGTAGAAAAGTTAGCTCTTAATATTATCTATGGCTGATCTTATAAATTATGGAACTGACTTCTAGGAAATAGAAATAAAAGTTGTTTTTTTTTTCTGTTGTGCTTGTTCGTTTCTCTATGGGAGGGAGGGGAATAAGAAGGGCACAGAAATAGAGGGACAGTGTAAATAAATGCAGCAGTGGTACTCAGTAGCCATTATGGACTATAGAACTGTGGGCAGGAAATGGGCGGGAAAAACCGGGAGAGAGAGAAAGAGAGAAGGAAGGAGGTGACATTGTCCAAAAGGAAATGTACCTATCACAAGACTTATAAAATGGTAACCCCTCTATATATCACCTTTATAACAACACTTATTTCTTTTAAAGACACATAGAAAAAAATAAAGACAAAAAACGTTTTAAAAACAAGGAAACCAGTAAAAAACCACAGATGAAACCGAAGACAATAATCACAAAGAAAATTTCAATATGTATTACATTATACACAAACCTCTAGAACTCTTCCTCTCCTTTGCTTTGTAACAATCCAAACAAACTACAAATCCACATTTTTGGCAGACCCAATGAATGTTAAACAATGTAGCTTCACATGCATCACACATCTCTCGGACTCCTCTTACTGCTCTTTTCCAGGCAATTTTGGCTGAAAGATAGCAAATATATACATATAAAGGCTAAGATTTTTTTTAAAGCTGTACTAAAAAAAACAAACAGCAAATTTATTATTTTCTCCCTTTTTGCGGTGGTGGTGGTGGTGGTAGTCAGTCGCTTGAACTCAGGGCCTGGGCACTGTCCTTGAGCAATTTTGTTCAAGATTAGCGCTATATCACTTTGGAGCCAAAGCACCACTTCTGGTTTTCTAGCAGTTAACTGGAGATAAAGTCTTACAGACTTTCCTACAAGACTGTCTTCGAAACACGATCCTCCTATCTTGGCCTCCTAAGTAGTTAGGATTACAAGTGTGAGCCACCCACACACAGCTGTATCCAAAGTGATTTTATAACACTAATTTATGTTACAATGCCACAAATTGGAAAATGTGATTATTTCATAAATGAGTAATCGACTCAATTTTTTAAAAAATTCTGTGCCTTAAGTGCTTAGAAAGGTATGTGCATCATAATTAAAAATCAGTACCTGACTAGATTAGGAAATTTTACAGAGTAAACATAATTTAAAGAGAAATTCTAAAATAGAAATTTATATAGGGTAAGTGTCACTTTCTCTTACCATCCTTTTTCACCCAGGACAAAGCTGTTTTCTCAGATGTTACTAATTGACAGAACTTATCACCTATTATATTCAAGATATATTTAGAAGTTTCTATGTCCAATTCATCATCTTCATAATTTTCGTGTGTCCATAAACTCATAGCTTCATCATCATACTGGTCAGGAGAAGAGAAGCCATCTATTCTAACCACTCCATTTTTACTAAATGACAATCTGAAACATTAAAACAAATGTATTAGATACTAAGATTATTAATTTTATAGTCTTTTACATAATAAGTTATACATTAAACACAATACTTCCTCATATATGTGCAACTGAGTAACTTATATAAGTTTAATAGGTATTATATAATGGATATGATAACCTGCACCAATTTTATGTTATTTCAAAAAGGTCTGGGAATGGCAAGTCAGTGAGTCAAGTGGTTGACTAATATGTACAAATAAAACATAGCAAAACAAAAAGAATTCTTTCATACATAACTAATTCCAATAAAATGAAACCACTGGAAACCATTTTTAAGTGTTTGAAGAGTACAGACATAAACAATACAATTATTTTACATTACAGTTTGATGGGGAATTTTTGGTTAAATATGGCCTCTACCAGTTTTAAAAGAAAACAATATTTAATATAACTAAGAGCAAAGTTAGTGGGTAGGGGCTGAAGTTCAACTGTAGAATGTCTGCCTGGAAGTGAAAAGCTGTCACTTCCAAAGTCCTTATTACCTGCTCCCCAAAATAACACAATATGTTTGTTTTTAGGTTCTGATAGCAAATAATATTAACTACTCTGTCAAGAGACATTTAGGAAAAATGAAAACAAATTTCCTTTAATGGCTTGGGGTTATTCCTCAACTATATATTGTTGTCTTTATTCTCAAATGAGGCTAAATGAGAATTTTGAAATTCAATACAAATTATTCTGTATTTTTCAAAGGTACAAAAACATCAACACTTTTTATCACGTCTCACACTTACATTATCTTACCCTTCTCTTTTTGCTCTTTTGTGTGCTAGTTCTGGGGCTTTAACTCTGGACCTTGGCACTGTCCTTGAATGTTTTTGCTTAAGGGTAGCTAGACTCTAGGATTACAAGTGTGAGCCACCAGCACACAGCTGCATCCAAAGTGATTTTATCACACTAATTTATGTTACAATGCCACAAGTTGGAAAATGTGATTGTTATTTAATAACTGACTAATCCATTCAATTAAAAAAATTCTGTGCCAAGTACTTAGAAAGGTATGTGCATCATAATTAAAAATTAGTATCTGACTAGAGCCACAGGTACACTTTGGGCTCTTAGGGGGTTAATTGGAGATAAAGAGGCTCACACAGTTTCCTGCCTGGCCTGGCTTTGAATACAGATCCTTAGGAGCTCAGCTATGATTACAGGCATGAGCCTCCCACATCCAGCTTCTAAACCTTATCATTAAAAAGGAATTTAAAGCTGGGTGCTGGTGGCTCACGCTTATAATCCTAGCTACTCAGGAGGCTGAGATCTGTAGATCTTGGTTCAAAGCCAGCCCAAGCAGGAAAGCCCATGAAACTCTTATCTCCAATTAACTACCAGAAAACTGGAAGTGGCACTGTGGCTCAAGTGGTAGAGCATTCACCTTGAGCAGAAGAGCTGAGGGACAGTACCCAGGCTCAGCGTTCAAGTCCCACGATCAAAAAAAAAAAGGTAATTTAAAACTAAATTTTCTGATATCATAACCCATTACTTTCCATTTTCATTATGTTCTACAGCTGACTATCTCTTTCCTTTAAACTCTTCCTACAGTTTCTTATTCTCTCAAAACTACATTCTTTTATGATGTCTTCTGCACTTGCATAGATTATTTGCTATAGTAAAGTATCTTACAGTTTTGAAGAAAAAAATTTGGAAAATAATCGTAACACAGCATTTTTTATGCTCTACCTACTACTTTATGTCATTTAACCTTCATTAAGTCCCTCTGAAGTAGGGACTTTTACCATTCATTTTTTCAGATGGGACAGGCTTAGCTGTATTCCTATTACAGTTAATAAAGACACACATGAACTAAGATCAGACAGTATTGAAAACCAGGAACAAATAATGTGAGAATGTGAGACTTTAGTCTCTAACTGCTTGGTTACCTTTGCTGTTCTTTTTATTAACTCTCATTACTCTATTATGTTTTTAGGTTTAAAATATCTAGTAATACTGATATTAAATTAGTATTTAACTTTTTCTAAGTTTTACTATAAATCAAACATGAAGTAACATTACCAAATCTTGTGACTTTGTAACTCATAATTTTAAAGGTGTAAATGTTAGCAAAAGTACAGCCTTTCCAATATGCCAGTGACTTACATTTAATTGTTTTGGTTGCTTATCTAGGTTTATGGATGACTTGTGATTTCTAAAGTAGATGCATACGCTACACTGTTTTAAAATGGTTTATGAAATTCTTAAACCAAGAATAAACTGCTTTTATTGTTTTTTTACAAATTAAAAAAACTAACATTTTCTCATTAACAGAGAATAAAATCACTCAGTAAAGAAAGATTATGGAATATAATTAACAATATGAATATGTACACTTCAGCTCCACTGTTAGCTACAGTTAAAAATGAGCACAAGTTTACTAATTTTTTGTAATGTTTCAGAAGCATATTAATTCCATACCCTCAGAGTATCAAGATAACCAAGAGATTAAAAGTGTTTCTATCAAATTTCATATTTTCTACTTACCGTCTAAAGTAGTAAAATCTACAAAATACTGGTGAGTGAGTTGGTTCTTCTCCTTTTTTAGTTCGAATGAGTCTACATTCTCGGCACTTTTGCAAGTTAGGCCCTATCTCACAACAGGAGTCATCCTGTAAAAACGATTCTCCAGTTTGTTTCAGCTTCTTGACCTTTCGCCAATCTTTTAATACTGAACGAGGAATGCCAGCTACAAAATTAGTAAGAAATCATTAGCAAGATTGTTTTAGAGAGATACTGAGACAAAATTCAAGTCAACTGTATAATTGTGATAGTGTAATTTTAAAAGTCCATAAGCAATATTTCAGTTTACCTGCTAACTAGTACTACCAAATAGAGGAACCAGATTCTCATGTAAATAAGCTAAAAATGCCATCTTTTTTTTTCTTTTAAAGCCCAAGCAATGTACAACATGGTCTCCTCTTGCTTTGACCTCCAGGCCTGTGAACATGGAGGCTCTTAGAAATGCAGATCTTTGTAAATTTTCCAGTTGACAGAATTAAATATTCACATGTATATAATGGCAAATGTGAATTACTCATGTGCTGTATACCTGTAACTAAAAAGTAAGACTTCTACATAGAAGTTTCGCACATGCCAGTATATGGGCTTGAACTCAAGTTTTTGAAAGTACCAGTACCAGAGCTACAACTTAGAGACCATAACATAAGCCTCTCCTTTTTATTTAACTTAAACCACTGCTAATGACAATCTTAGCAACAATATTAAATAATTGCAAAACGTATACAATTTCATCAGCTGGTGTCTATGTTCATATTACTCATAAATAATCCTCTTGTAGTAATATATCTAAATATAAGTAGGATTACTTTTGGGGGGGTGGTCAGTGGTGGGACTTGAACTCTGGGCCTGGGCACTGCCCCTCAGCTCTTCAGCTCAAGGTTAGTGCTGTACCATTTAAGCCATACTGCCACTTGTGCGGTTTTCTGGTGGTTAATTGGAGATAAGAGTCTAACGGACTTTCCTGCCCAGGCTGGCTTTGAACCATGATCCTCAGAGCTCAGCCTCCTGAGTAGCTAGGATTGCAGGCGTGAGTCACTGGCACCCGGCTTTCTAACTAATTATTATAATTAACTTTTAGGTAAAATTAGAGATCTATTTTTAAGTGTGATAATCCAAACTGCATTTTAGCAATTCTTAAAGGTTTAGGCATAATGTTAAACAGCTGTAATTCTAGCTAGAGTTATAGGATCTAAAGATTAAGGGACTACAGTTTGAGACTAGCATGGGGGTAAAGTTAGCAAGACAATCTCAAAAAAAAGCTAGCCGTGGTGAAACATACCTATAATTCAAGCTACACATGAGGTATAGATAAGGAAATCACAGTCTAAGACCAACCCTGAACAAAGATGTGACCCTATTAAAAATACCTAAAGGAAAAAGAGGTAAAGGTGTGGCTCAAGTGGTAGAGCATCTTCCTACCAAGTGTGAGGCCCTAACCAAATAAACTAAAACTCAACTCTTGGAAATTATCAAATTAGCAATGTGCATGTGGCTCATGCCTGTATTCCTACTCAGGAGGACAAGTCAGATCTGAGCATTGTTGATGGTTCAAAGCCAGCCCAGGCAGGAAAGCCTCGATTCTTAACAATTAAGAACCTTCTTGAAAAAGCTGGAAATGGAGCTGTGGTTTGTTAGAGCACCAGCCTGGAGCAAAAAAAGGTCCAGCAGAGCGCTCAGGCTCTCAACTTAAGCCCCAGAACACAGACATAGACACAGATTGAAATAGCTGGGCACAATGGTTCATGCCTGTAACTCCATCATACTTGGGATGTAGATAGGAAGGTCTCTGATTTGAGGCTCTGGGCAAAGTTAATGAGACCCTATCTTAGAAACAAAATGTTTAAAAAATGTATAGGGGCATGTGTGGCTCAAGAGATACTGCCCTTGCTTATCATACACAAGGTCCTAGATTCAACCCCCAGTAAACCCTCACAATTATGAGCCACTCCAAAAAAATCTCACACTGGTTCATACATATTACCACAATGAATGTTTGGTAAACGGATGTATTTCTGCAAATCTCTAAAAATTTATATCTCCTATAACCTTATAGAAATATAGAAATGAGATATATAAAGACTAGAGAGGCCAATTATTAAACACATTTGCTGCTAGAATATTTTCCTAAAAGAAGTTATTCACTTACCACTACTACTATTGTTCTGTAACTTCAATTTACTTTTTTCTTTGGCACTCCTGCTGAGAATTCCATTGGGTTTCAAATCTTCCTCTACTTCACCTTTCCTCTTCTGCAAATCATTTTGCTTCTTTTTGTAAGTGGGCTTAGGTTGCCTTTTAGTCCTTTGTTCTGACTTGCTTTCACTTTCATCTGTGTCTCCACTTTCAGAGCCAGATTCATAAGTCCTTTTAGCTTTTCTCCTATTGGCTTTATCATCCCTTACATATTTATCAACTATGATTTTACTATCTACACTATTTTGAATATCATTAGATGTAGAGGCTATTAAATTGACAGAACATGGCTTAATAATTTCTGATACAGAATTCCCTGAACTTTCTATTTTATTAGTATTTCTGTCTTCTTCTGAATGCCTAGTAAGCCAAGCCTTTTTCAGTTTAGTATGATAGTTTGGTTGACTTGTCTGGGACAACTGCCCATTTCCTACAGAGTTTGCTTTGTTATTTGTACTACAGATTACAGTACTATCCAAGGGAAGAGTGGCTGAAGCTGTCTGATTTTTCACAGGATTAAGTTCAGTCTCACTGACATTACTATTTTTATACTGAGCTGCAGCCAATGCTGCTTTGTGCTTTTTTAAATGGATAAAATCAGTTGTGCCTGAGAAGCCAGAGTTGGGCTGGACAGCACTTCCTATTTTATTACTGTCTAGCGTGACTGGAACTGTGGTGCTGCTGACTCTGCATTCTTGTGTTTGACCCACTGGCTGACTTTTTGAAGAAGTACATTCTAAAGATGTTGAGGCCAAAATGGTATTTGATATGGAGGAAGTGAGTTCTGAACCACCCTGGCTGGAAGCACTGGTGGTAGTGGCAGGAGATGTGAATGTATCTGTTTTGGTATTACATACTGTATTTAGAGCAGACATGACTGAAATGGGAATACTGCCCTGGGAGACAGCTTCCAAGTGTTTTTCTGAGTTTGCTCGAACATTGTCCAAATTCACATTTGGTAGAATTATTCTTCCAGTCTCTCCAGTTTCTGCTGGTTTGACACAATCTACTTTATTTGCCCTTATTGATGATTTTTCACTAACCCGATCTTTGGAAGCTAATGGAAGGAATGGTGTACTATCAATTTTCGAACTAGAAGGTGGACGTACAATGACAGATGCTACAGCAGCCTGTGTCTTTCCAGTGCCTTTCTCCACATGCCATTCAACTTTCTCTTTGAGATTATTATTAGATCTCCACATTTCTGCAAAAGTCTGTTCAGAACTCTTAAAATTTGCCTGAGAGTCTTTTGGCTCAGGAATTAGAGTTGGAGGCTTCTGTGATTCTTGAACTTTCCCACCAGCATGAACTGGCATCACTGGAGTTAAAGTTGGAGGAGAAAGACTACTGTAGCTGCTTTCTTTTCTTTCCAAACTATGATGAATTGGTGGGTGAAACACTGGTGCTCTATGTAAAGCAGGCATACTGCGGAGTGTATTTGTAGAAGAAACTGTCAGGTGGGTAGGACTCCTACAATCATTTCTAAAAGCTGTTACTGAGTGAGATGTAATCTGATGGGGCACATGGTCTGTTATCTTGCCTACTAAGCTCTCATTTTCTGGCTGGTGTTTAATCAAAGGTGGAGGCTTTGAAAGAGATGATATAAATGAAGTCAGAGTTTGAGGATTAGCTGCTACAGCAAGGGTATTACTCTGCTTTTCAGTGTAAAGATTTGAAACGTCTTTGGATGGGTATGATCTTGGTGGTTCATTCACCACACTGTTGGACAATGTAGTGAAATAGTTACTTTGGGGCAAACTCTGAGGCACAGAGTGCTTCATTTTATAAAGCTCTGATACTGAGCGATCTACATCTTTATCTTGTTTGATGGCATGGCTTTTAGGACTAGAAGATGATGATGGTATTCTGGAATAATCTCTCTCTGTCTCAAGCCCCTTGATTTTGGTTGTAAAGGGAGCAACATCAATACTTTCTTGAAGAATTCGACGATGCTCTTCTTTGTATTTGTTTAATCTCTCTCCTGTTTCATGGGATGGCCTCTGTAACTGATTTAATACTGGATCCACAAAATGTCTATGCAAATGACAATCTTTTCCAGTTTGTGACCTATTAAGATCCAGGTCACTTTTTGCAGATGTAGATGCAACAGACCGTAATGGTTCCATAAATGCTTTCCTCTCCAGTTCTCTATAAACAGAAAACACAAAGATTTCTGCAAGTCCTTTTCTGGAAAATGTATACCAAGACAGTTTTTATGCATTATTATTCTGTTAACTGTTAAGAAAGCAAAATGTACCTTCACATGAAAATATTCTAATATAATCAAGCAAATCAGAAGGTATATAAATATAAAAAAGAACCCCTTTCAAAGTCTAATTCTATACATTTAATTAAGTAAAATTATGAAAGACAAGGGTATTTATAAGTCTGAAGCATTGGTGGACTTACTCTTTATGGTGATCTATTAGAGTTTTTGTCAATGGTGGACTGGAATGCACTGTAATTTTAAGAGGTCGATGAGGCTCTGCACTGGAAGGTCTTACAGGAATGTGACTAAGTAAGCCGATACCATCTGCTGAAGTCACAGGAGTGGGTTGATGTAACCAAGGACTGGGAGAATTCTATTTTAAAGAAGTCTAAAAGTTAGTTACTAGAAAAAGCTAAATTTGGTATCACAGAAGAATTTTAATGACAATGTATTTATGAAATCTGTGATTTTTTTCCCTCACTGAATCTGGTAAAAAAAATCATTTATTTAATCAACATTAATCAAATTTTCCATACCATGTAGAACACTAATCAATATTTTTAATGTTTATTTTCAAGAAACAATGCAAAAGCTATTAATAAGCAGTCTCAAAAGAAACAAAACAGGATGAGACTTGGAGAATCAAGATTCTACACCAATCAAGGCAGAAAAGTCTGAGACTCCAACTATCCAGCAAACACCCAGGCCAAAGGTCTGGCTTGAGTGGTAGAGTGGCAGTCATTAGCAAGGAAAGTAACATGAGAGAACATAAGGCCCCGCACCCAAAACCTAGTACCAGCACCAAAATATGAATAAACAAAAAAAGCTGCAAGAGCTATAAATCTCACATAAGAGGAAAAACTACATAATTATACACATAATGACAATCGAAGCATATGACACAAAATTGTTAAGTTGCTATCAATCATGGTAATGGTAAAAGTTTTTGCTCTACAAAAATACTGTTTGAAATTGTTATTTAGTGTCTATCCGTGTTTTGTTCTCATTTTAGTCACAAATACTAAGAGTAAGGAACCCTTAGTTTGGCTCAAAATAATCAATGTACTCAACATTATAATTTTATTTAAATAAATGAAAGCTTATATACCTATTTTTAGTTTTACATTTTTCCATTCAAGGTGGGTACTGTATCACTTGAGCTACAATTCCAGTTCTGTCTGCTGGTTAACTGGAAATGAGAGTCTTGATTTGTCTACCCAAGCTGGCTTTGAATCTTGATTCTCAAATCTCAGCCTCTTGAGTTGCTAGGATTACAGGAAGGATTCACCAGCATCCAGCTAACATTTTATACTCTTATAAACATGGAAGCCAGACAGACATATATCCCACTGATAATGTTTCTTTTAAGTTGTCTCTAACAGGTATTCAGATCTACTATTGTTTGGAATTTATGAAAGAACACTCAAGTTATTTATCAGCTCTTACAATTCTGTGTTCTTTCAGCCTATCTTTCTATATTCATGATACATGAGAATGAAGGGTCAAAGTCTGAGTACACTGGTCATATTTGGGTCACAAGAGAATGTGATCAGTGATCTTTCCTTGACCTAAAAGACTATATAATATTCATATTCTAGGATGATTTTACCATCACAATATCAATGGCACCATCAAAATTAGTAACAGACATGCTGGAGGTCGGGCTCAAATGATTAAAAAAAACAGCAGAGTAAGCCCATACCACCACTGACACCAAAAAAAAAAACCAAACAATCACCACAACAATAAAAACAACCAGGTAAATGGAGCCTAAAGAGGTGGTACATGCTTGTAATACCAACTATTTGGGAAGTGAAATGGAGAGGATCATCATTAAAGGCCAGCCAATGCAAAGGCAAAAAGTGCCACCTAATCTCAACCAGTAAGTCAGGCCTTGAGGATATATGTCTGTAATCTCAGCACTTGGGAGGATGAGGCCAGATCAGAAGTTTGAGGTCAGTGTGGTTTCACAGGGAGTTCTAGGCCAACTTGGACTATCTAACATGACCATGCCTCATACAAAAAAGAAAGAATCAGAGTCATGGATCTGTTGTAGATCACCTACCCATAGGTTCAGACTCTAGTACTAAAAACAAACAAATACAACAAAAACAGAGTGGAAAATAGGAAGCATGTGATTAATGGAAGCACAAAACTGTACCAATGCTGTTGCAGATCACTGTTAGCCACATTTTAGAAGGACAAAGCATTATAAAGGTGGAGCTAAGAGGAGCTGATATTAGAAGTGGGAACAAATCATAAAAAGCATCATCAAAATGATCAGAACTCTATCCTGCACTACCAACTACAAGGTGGCCCTTCATATCACAACTTGGAACTTATAGCCTCGGTTTATAACATTTATCACTCCATTACTGTTGCCCAAAATATCATAGCTACATTGACAAACTTCTGGCATGATGACCACTATCCTTACTGGCATTTACCAATGCTTTTCATAAACAATATTCTTTACATAGTAAACAAGAAGACAAACATGTTTCATAAGTTTTCACTCCCATTTTGGTACCCTGGATATTGTATATATGTTTATCTGAATTAGGGAAGGGAAGGGAACAACAAAATGGTGAGAAAAAGGACAAAGGGGGAACCAATTCAACAGTGATACTCACAAGACAATATGTTAGAAATGGGTCTGTACATTTGGGGTGGGGGGGATTGAAGGGAGGGAAAGATGGAGAAAAATGACGGAGTAACAAGTTAGACAAGGAATGTACTCACTATTTTATGTAACTGTAACTCCTCTGTACATCAGCTTGACAATAAAATCAAAATTAAAAAAAAATCACTCCCAACATTTGTACTGAAGATATGACCTTGAGTAAGGCTGGTGCTGGTGATCTACTATTTGGGATACTTAGGTCTCAGCCTCCTCAGTAGTAGGATTGCATGTGTGAGCCACACTCCTGAACTAATATCAGGGTTTTAAACTCAGTGTCTTATCCTTAGCAGGCTTACAACTTAGCAGTCTACGACTGAGCTATGCTCTTAGGTTTTTTTTGCTTTTATTTCCTCTTCCTTTGAAAAGGCCAGCCCGGAATTAAGATTCTTGCAGCCTATGACCTTGAAATGGAACACTGTTAACCTTTTGACTGGGCTGTCCATAAGCTGTGATTCTTCCAAATAATTGCTTCCTAAGTAGCTGACATTTACAGATGTGAGTTACTTGGCCCAGGTAACTTATACTTCTTGAACTTTATCAATAGGTTTTTCAGAGAATGTTTATTACACATGTGGAAAAACAGTATTATTAGAAAACATTTATACATGGTAATTAAAAGTATCAATATATGGCACAATACAACATGACTTACCCTCCTTAATGAAGCTTCTGCATTAACTGCATTTTCTGGGTGAACCCACTTAGAAGAAGGCAGACCAAGTCCTGAGTATGCATGTGTTCCATTTGGATACTGCCAAATAATTGGATAAAGTCCAAGCTGATTATAAGTAGCAGAAGGATGGGCTTGTCCAAGAAGATGAGGTGACTGGTGCTGTAACAACTGTTGTTGTTGCTGGTGTGCTAGCGCTAAGTGACTCAAGCTGCTGGCATGAGCACTTTCTAGGCGAGGGTGGCCACCAAGTAAGGAGGCAGCAGGCACTCCAGGTAACACAGTGGGAAGTAAATGAGGGTGATGAATAGAATGGTGTGGACCACTAGTCAGAGGGTGAGTGTTAATGGTAGGTATTGGAGTTTGACTAGATGATCCTGCTAGTAAGTGGGGTGCAGGAGTTAAGGCAGGATGATGCGTACCAGGATTTAAACAGGTTCTATGAGATGAGGAATGAAGAGAAAAAGGATGCTGGCTTAAAAAAGGTGAAATGTGATTAGCTCCTGTTTCTGACCCAATAAGAGCAGGATCTCTATAAACTGTGAAATGTTCATTTTTATCAATGATCAGAGGGCTCTTGGTAGATTCCAAGGCATTGCCTCGAGGAGGAACTGGATGAAAACTGCATCTTGTTAACTCATTTTCTATCTTGTTTGCTAGTCGTCTTTCACCAGTAGCTTGACTGTTTGTGTAAATGGTTTTAGACTTTAAAGAATCAGGAGAATGTGGAATTTTGGATTTTACAACTTCAGGTGAGGAACTGGGTCTTGTCTTGTGACCATCTACTGAAGTATTTAGTTTAGATTTAATGGTCTCTGGGGGTGGACTTCGCTTATGTGGTTTATCTTCTGTGATAGCAGCTGTACTTAAAGAAGACATGTAAGAAACATACTTATTTTTGTCTTTTTCCATATCTAGGCGATCATTTCCTGAAGAAGCATTTGTAACACCTGACTGGGTTAAATCCACTTTGACTACATCACTAACCCAGATCTGCTCAGAATCTTGTTTGGCTGTTTCTAAGTATTTTACATTTGAAATTGCATGTTTTGAATCACTAGCACAAGGATCCATGTTGTCAGGTGTCTGGAGGCCAAAGGTACTTGTGTTTTCCTGAGCCACCCTTTCTGAATTAGCATCATTTGTAATATCAATAACACATTTTGGTGTGGGTGGTCTGGCTACAAATTTCTCCTTTGGTAATAAATCCACTGTATGTGTATTTTCCATATTGCATTCTTTAAGACCCAAATCATTAGAATTATGATCACAAAGTGTGGCCTGCTCTGATGAACGCACACTCATTTTTTCTTGAAGATGAGTATCCACAAATTTCCGCTTCTCTCCATCATGTTTGTCTTCCTGCATTTGATCCCAGGGGGGCCGGATATCAAGTGTCTCCTCTACTGCCTTCTCATTTTTCTGGGATTTCCCTTCTTCTCCATTTATCTTAGAAGCATTTTTATTTTTCAACTCATTCTCTGGCTTTTGCTCAGAAGAGTTATCAATTGTTTTCTTATTTGAACTTTCCGAGTCGCTGCTCTCAGAAAAGTCTGAAACATTGTCAGTCCGCAATCTTTTCATATTTAATTTCTTTTCCTCCTCTTCAGGCTTCCTTCTTTTATTCATCTTTTTATTTTTAGGGGTTTCTATATGATTAAAATAAGAAAACACTTATTTTTCCAATCTAATACAAAGTAAGCACATTTTTAAGGATATTTTGTTTTCATTCTCTTAAAAAAAAAGCAGATACTACCTCCTCGTGATATATAATCACATTTGTCCTCTTTCATCTTCTCTTCATCTGGTACACTGCTATCTGAGCCCTTCCTCTTACTTGGGCGGATGTTTCTTTGTTGCTGGTGTGTATTCTGTTTTGGTACAGCAGCTTGGGAGTTCATTGCTGGTCTGGGACTATTTGCTTGAGCACGTGTATAATGACCCTAAAAAAATAAAAAATGATTATTTAAATATAACTTTAAAAAGACTAAAATATTTTTTGAAAATTCATTACCAAAGATATACATACATGAACAGTGTTGATATTTTGATTGGCACGAGACCTGCGTCGTGATGTAATGCCAATATTTTCACCTTTTAACAAGGAATGAACAACATCATCTAGAAAGGTCATTTGAACCATAGAAGGATCGACATTCTGTGGCTCTAGTACCTAATCCAAGATATAAACAAAAATAAAAATTGAATCCATTGTGCTAATATGAAATTTGGTACATTTTGTTTACTTAGTAGAAATACATGTATCAGTTTGGGATGCCTAATTTTACTACCAATCAGGCTACATAATTAATTTAAATCATCAAAATAAAATTACTCTTCTAACCTTCTTTTGCATTTGTCATAAAATCTGAGCATAACAATAAAATTACATGTGGGACTAGATGTCTGTTTAGTTTCATTAGTGAAAAAAGACCATTTAGGAAATATTTTTATCATTGTAGAAGCAAAAGCTAACTTTGAGAAGTTCTAGCTAACCTAAGGATTGAAAAAAAAAACACTAATTAAATTAAGCATTTTATGCCTTCATTTCAGGGACTGATTTGATCACCATTGAAATAAATCTGATTTTACCAATACCAATACCCTTTTACCTGAAACCACTTCCCGTTTAATTTCAGACATGACCAACTTGTTAGGCTCATATAATTAAAAATCCTAGAGATGAAATGTACTATCAAACTGCAAATGCTCTTTAAATGTTTTTGGGTTAGCTATGTACACTGTAAACAATCCTATTTTAGGGGGTAGACTAGTAGATATGGATAGGTCAGTAATGGAACATGCATTTAGCATATCCTAAAGTAGGGTTAACATGCTCAAAGTCTTGGCTTTGGTCTCCAAAGACAAAGATAGCCAAACTATTTACCTGATCATTCATAACGATCATGGTGCGAGTGAAGAGATCATGATGAGTAATTATGCCAGTAAACCACTGGGTGGCAGAGTCTTGTCTATATACTCTCACTCTGTATCCATTTAAAGAATAAGGACCTTTTAAAAACACAAAAAAACAGAGACATCTTTAACAGAGATATTTTCTCTTAGAAGTTACTGCTTAGGACAAAAATAAAGCTAAGTGAAAAATGAATAATAAAACTAAAACTCTGTTTTCAAAATACATGGTTTAGAAGACAAGTAACTATCTTCAAAACCAATTTTCTAGAGCTATCATTATATATTCAACTAGGAATACTTCCTAATTCAATGGAAACAAAATGTTAAAAAGAATGGAATCATGAGTAAGAGGAAACAACAAAATATCGAAGTTTCTATAGATGACTGTATGGCAAAAATGGAAAAATAACTTGCAATGTCTTGAGTCTTTTAGTTGTCAGAATATTACCAGACAAATTCTGATTTTTCTATAACTACTAGGAAAAGCTGCTAAGTCACTCAGAAAGCTGAAACAGGATGGTCTCTCTCCACTTTCAAGGATAATGTAGGCTATAAACCAAGACTCCATTCACAAGGGAGGAAGGAAGAGAGGGAGGGAAGGAGGAAAGAAAGGAGAGAAGGGGAGAAAGGGAAGGGAGAAAGGAAAGAAGGAAGAAGGGAGGAAAGACAGAGAAGGAGGGAGGGGAAGTGAAGAAAGGAGAAGGGAGGAAGAACAGAGAAGGAAGGATAGACAGACTTCTTAAAACATAAAAGAGCACAAAGTAATTTATAACAGTACTAAAGATGTGGGTTTTTTAGGATGAAATACATTTGGATTAAATTCATGTTTTTAAAGAACATAGATTTCCTTTAGAAAGTAAGGGTTACATTATCTCTATATATCCAAATATGCCTATTAAAACAAAAGTCACGGCACAGAAATGAAGAATGCAGATAAATATTTTTTTAATTCACAGGCAAATACAAAATGTCAAAATTTAACAAGATCTTTGGGGGGGCAAAACTGTGTAACATTTTTAATAATAGTTATACAAACAGCTTTCAAAATTTCCATGTGCCTAATTAGTCCTCCCACCATCTTATTGTCACCCTTTTCATTAAAAATAAATCAAGAAATTGAGATTAGTGGGTTAAGTGAGTTTTTTAAAGTCAAAGATCTGGGATAGATGTTAACTGTCTGACCCCTAAGCTGATGTTATTTGTTCAAGGTATAACAAACTCAAAAACTAATGAAAGGTTTGACACTTACTGGTTTGAAAACAAATTGCCTTTGTCCATACCAGTCTAAAACACAACTCACCTGCAGAAAATATTCTATGAGGATTGAGCATATACCTCAGTGGTAGTGTTTGTCTATGTATGTAATTTATCCTCCACCACCCACCACCAAAAAATGAAAACAAAAGAAGGAAAGGTATCTTATGAATAGCTAAGATTGTTGGAGTGAACCACCACCAGTGGCTGGCTTTGATTGGCTATACTTTTACACTATTACTAACTACAATCTAATATTTAAATTCTATTCTTTTCTAACTTAAGAAGAGTAAGGATCAACATTACTTTTCTAAACAATCTAGAAGTACTTACAAAATGACACCACATACTACCAGTTTTTAAAAAACTGTATATTTGGCTTATTCTCAACATTAAATACAATCTGAAGTACAGTTCAATTTTGTCTAAGATAGATAGGGATTATTAATACCTTAATCCTTTCTTCTCTACAGATAGAAAGAAATTAAAAGTCTTTCTTAAAATAGTAACTTGGGCTGGGAAGATGGCTCAGTAGTAGAGTGCTTTCCTTGCATGCATGAGGTTCCATTCCTCAGCACCACATAAGCAGAAAAGGCCAGAAGTGGCACTGTGGCTCAAGTAGTAGAGTGCTAGCCTTGAGCTGAATAGCTGAGGGACAGTGTCCAGAGTTTTCAAGCCTCATGACCGATACAAAATAAACAAACAAACAAATAAAAAGTAACTGGATTTTGTTCCACTAATATATTGCAAGGAAAGGGAATAAGGGGATGTGGAGTAGGGACACAATATCGAATGACACTATATGGACACTTTCACTTTTTCTGATTAAAAAATAATTGTTAAAGTCACTTAAGAAATTTTAAAAAGGCCATTTGAACATGACTTTCAACTATTTGATAGTAATTTTTTTAGCACAATTGCATTATGGAAGCTTTGTTTTAAAAAACTGGTAAAATAAAGTAGTATCTTAGTTTGGTAGAAGAGGAGATGCTAAAAGAGCAGAACATTAGAATGAGCTTGTGACTTTAAATGAGCATCATTATTCCACAATACTGTGAAATTTGGGAAATTATGTAATCACTTAATCACAATTTAAAAAAAAAGAACCTCGGGGAAGGTAAGGAGGGAAGGGATGGTAGGGGGAAAACAATGGAGGGGGTAACAATGCTCAATAGGAAGTGTACTCATTACCTTACTCATGTAACTGTAACCCTCTGTATAGTATCTTTACAATAAAAAATTAATAAAAAAACAAAAAACTGTCAAATGTATAAGGAATGAAAACAAATGCCATAGATGCTACAATTTGAAACAATACAAATATTATGAATCATCATGCTTATCTTTGTAAGAAAAAGTACTTGCTCTCTTTTTCTTGTTGGACAATCTATGATATAAGCAAGCTTGTTTTTGTTGTTTGTTTAAGATAGTTATTAAACTCAGGGCCCAGAGCCTTGCTGAGCAAGTAAAAAATAAAATAAAAGAGCAGAACAGCTAAATTATGATAGCTGTTGGGAGTAGATGGTAGATATTTAAAACAGTTTACTTTTGTACGCATTTTCATTTCTCCAAAGCTTATAGAATATTTGTGCTAAGTATTATCTAGATGATTTACAATTGCACATAGCCATATAAAGTAAATCACATTACAATTGAGATTATCCCCCATACTTGATAGTATAGATAATAAATACTGAGAAAAAAACACAAGAATTTAGCAACAAAACTGTATTACTAATATTCAACATGTCAACTATTAACAGCACTATGTCTTAGTTTCCATTAAATTTCACACAAGGCCTTGCATCTGAAATATATGACTTTACTGGTATTTGGGGGTTTAGGGATGGATTACAGCACTCCAAAGGAGGAAGAGGCAGAAGTCTGAGGCCAGTATAAACAAAAACATCTGCACAAAACAACGAAACAACATCAACCACCACCTTTAGGAAATGATTAGTAGTCTGAAAGTCACATGTGGTTTACAAACCTGTAACTTCATAAAAAATCAGGACAAGTTTGGTGGTAGTTACTAAAGAAGTATGCTGAAATAGGCTATTTCATCAGATACAAGCAGCATTCCTCAAAGGAAATTAATTATGGCTTTGAGCAATCCAATACTAACCAATGCTTCCTTTTCCAGGAAGGACTCACCAAAATGTAAATTTTTGTATTCACAAAACACTGGATAGATAATTTTAATTCATATCATATGTTTAGCTCAAATAGTTAATAAGGTGGTACAGATATAAGCTTTGGTTATTTTCCAAACTACCAATTATTTTTTGGTAATTATTAAGTTGGGCTTTCTATTCATATCACATATAATTGAACAACCAAAGAAAAATACAACAAATATTGCCTACTTAAAAAAAAAGAAAAAGGAATGCATAACTTCAAAATAGTTACCTTGCATAAAAATCTCCTGAACTTTTTGTTCCTTTACCCAGACTTTCACTTCCTCATGAAGTTGCGGGTTGTCCCTGAGAACTGGGTTTAGGCTGTCTATGTCGTCCTAGAATTATAGATTGAAAGAAAAGGTCCACATTATACTTTCCTAACATTAATATTTCTGATTTTCCTCATATTTTCTAAATACTTTATGAAAATTCCTTGATGTAAAAAGCACATATTCAAAAGGTACACTTCACTTAGTAGCTGCATAACAGCATAGCGTAAGTAATAAATATGCAGTGAGATCTGATCTTTGACAATAAGTTACTATAGGCAAAATTTTAAATTTGGCAATGTGGGTTCTATTTTTTAAACCATAACCTTACTCTACGCAGCTTTTAAAAGATTTTTGTGTGTGATTCAAAACAATATACAAATCAAACACTATCAGGTTATCCAAGGATAAAGGCAAAGAATATCCAGTATTTTACTGACTACATGTATATGTTATCTCTCTCTCCACACACATAAATGCTTTATTCATTATCCTCATTTGAATATCATCAAGTTAAGTTCTACTCAATTCATCTATAGCTTTACTGCTAGTACTCAGTTTTTTTCAAGCCAGTTAAATTTACATTACCAAAGCCATGCACTAGTGGCAAACACCTGTAATACAGGAGCTACATAGGAAGACTCAGGCTTAGAAGATCAAAGTTCAGAGCCAGCTTGGGCAGAAAAAGCTGCAAAGCCCCATCACCAATTAACTAGTAAAATGCCAGACAGGGAGTTTTGCTCAAATAGTAGAATGCAAACGTGAGCAAAATAGTTGAGCAAGAGCATAACATAAAGACATGAATTCATTATATCATGTATATGAGCACACACAAACATTAATAGCATTAATTTTTATAAGGTGGATCTAGGCACAGAAACCTGGTTTCTCACAATCTGTAGTCTCTAGCTGAACCCTTTCACACTCTGAACTCTTTCTTATTATACCTCTGGTGCTCTTCTATTTGAGATAAGGTTCAGGAAGCATAGCTTACTGACTGGCAAGAACAACAAACCAACACTGTCAATTTGCTAAAAGTGGACTAATACATCATGAAAACCTGAACAGAGAAGAGGTAAATCAAGGCAACTTTATCTGGTAAGTAAAAACAAATCTAGCAATCTGGTTAATACAAAAGGTTGTTGAAAAGTATAAAGACTTGTAATAATAACAATGTTGGACACGAAATGTACTCATTGTCTTACTCATATAACTGTAACCCCTCTGTACACCATCTTTACAGTAAAATAAAATTTAAAAAAATTGAAAATCCAAAAAAAGTAATACTTAACTTTTAGGGTATACAGTATATCAAAGTAAAGATGCCTTTTCTCTTCTATCATAGTTTTAAGACACTAAGTTCTGTGTCAAATACTGTAGTAAATATTTTTTTTCTGACAGAAAGGCCTTTAAAATTACTATTTATGTCTCTTAGAAAATATACAACAAATGTTTTATTAAAGAAGAAAGAAGCACGAAATTATCAAACAGGAAGTAAATCTACCCTTTTGAAGAAAACTGCCCATCAACAAATCTTTTTGTTAAACAGCTTTCTAGCAATCCCTTTTCTCTACGTTTCATTTAATAGGGGTTTAGGGATATAGTTCAGTGTTAGGCCTTGGGTTCAACACTAAGCAACAAAATCAAAATGTACTGCACTCTTAGCATTTTTAAGAATAGAAAATATAATCCAAAATTTATTCAATAGACTCTAATCCTCTTGTTGCATTCCAGCCAACAGTCTATGAAAAACAGAATACAGAAGATATTTTCTAAGGAATAGTATTGCTAACAGCTATAAATTCTTTTTTTTGGGGGGAGGGGGTGGGTCCGGTTGTGGGGCCTGAACTCTGGGCCTGGTGCTGTCCCTCAGCTCTTCAGCTCAAGGCTAGCCACTTCCGGCTTTTTTCTTTTTGCGTATGTGGTGCTGAGGAATCGAACCAAGGGCCTCATGCATGCAAGGCAAGCGCTCTACCACTGAGCCACCTTCCCAGCCCAAAATTCTTTAAAAATAATCCTTGTCTTAATTTGCATACATGCCTATTATATTCATAGGAAATAAGCTCTGTAATAAACTGCAATAGCAGCAATGCCAATATTTTATACACACAGATATAATCAATGAAACGATTGGCTATGTCGAAATTTTACAATTTGTACCTAATCAACTAGTTAAAAAATGAGTTGTTTCCAAGAAAATTAGACAACTTATAAATACATTTCAGGAAATGAACCATTAATTTTCTAATAAAAAAGCATATTAGTAAAAATTGACAATAAAATTCCTTTGTGATAGCACACTTCTGCAACAGAACTAGAGGTCAAAATGGGAACATCCCAAGTTCAGGGCCAAAGCTGTCCCCCACCCCTCACCCCCTCAAAAGAACAACAAAAACCAAACCAAACAACCCAAAAACCAACAAACACTATCAATTTACTAGTATGATTTTACTTAAGTTCACATTTCTGTATGTCATTTCTTTCTTCTATAAATAGTCACTGACTTCTGCTATCTTAGTATAGTTTTTACTAAATTTTACTAAAGTAAGTAATAGTTTTTTTTGAAAAGTCCAATTCCTGATTTGTCTCTGATATAAAAACAGAATTACTGTTCATCAAAGCCCACTAATTATCTTTACCAACTGCCTGGTTTATGACAAATATGACCATGATGAATTTTTTCTCTTCCCATTCTCTATTTTAAAAAATTCTTTTTTTTTGGTTGGTCGTAGGGCTTGAACTCTGGGCTTGGGCGCTGTCCCAGCGCTCTTCAGCTCAAGGTGAGCGCTCCACCACTTGAGCCACAGCGCCACTTCCGGTTTTCTAGTGGTTTATTGGAGATAAGAGTCTCATGGACTTTCCTGACCAGGCTGGCTTTCAACTGTGATCCTCAGATCTCAGCCTCCTGGATAGCTAGGATTACAGGCGGCATGAGCCACCAGCGCCTAGCTTCACATGCTCTTTTTTAAAAAGCTCAAAATAATGAGCAAGATCATGAAAAAGAGGCAAAGATGGTTTCTATGTACTTACATGAACAGTTAGTTCTGTGAAGCTGCTAAAAATCACATATTCATGAAGATGAATTAAAAATTTGAAATTAAAACTTAGCTATGGAAGATAGGGAACCAACCCAGATGCCCCTCAGTAGATGAATGGATCAAGCAAATGTGGTATATATACACAATGGAATTCTATGCCTCCATCAGAAAGAATGACATTGCCCCATTTGTTAGGAAATGGAAAGACTTGGAAAAAATTACATTAAGTGAAGTAAGCCAGGCCCAAAGAAACATAGATCCCATGGTTTCCCTTATTTGCAATAACTAGTGTATGTCTCAGACAAGCAGAAATGGTCAGATAAGTTGAAGTTAGGGAAATGAACCCTAAGATATGTATTCAAATGTTTTTTTCTTTCATGCAATTGTTTCTAACACATTTATAAGATTATTTCTTTGTTGCTTTATATGTCCCTCCCCCACAGTATAACCCCTGTTTTCACTGTATTTGATGTTGTTATAATTTGTGGAGGGGAAGGGAAAAAACAAATCGTTTAAATAGGGATACAGTAGACCCATTGCAACAATGAGACATACAAGTAGTTACCTCGAAAATGAACTTTACAACTTTGGTGGGGGGGCGGAGAAAAGTTGTGGGGGGGGAGGATGGGATGGGATGGGAAGGAGAAACAAAGGAGGAGGCTACAATGCTTGATAAGAAATGTACTCATTATCTTGCCCATGTAATTGTAACCCCTCTGTACAGTATTTTCACACACAAAAAAAACAGCTATGAATTCTCACTTTCTAGCTATGAATACTCAGGCATTTTCTTTTACAAAACATGCAAGGATTTCTGCTATGCCTTGAACTTGTATAAGAGTAAACACAATTTGTACAGTTCTTAAAAAAATTTAGATAGGAATTTTAGGTAGCTACCTGTAACATAAAATTGTTTAAGTACCTGAAAGCAAGTTACTCTGATAGGGAAGGAACTCCCTTTCTCCACAAATATATTCTGTTCAATTAGTCAATAGGAAGGTTTCGTTTAACAACATTTGCCTTGTTAGGAACTACTGTAAAAAAGAAAAATTAAAAAGGAGGCTGACTCTTCAGTAAATGGTGCTAGCAAAACTGGTTAAACACCTGTAGAAAACTAAAGCTAGATCCTTATATATCACCCTGCACCAAATCAACTCCGAATGGATTAAAGACCTCGGAGTCAAAACAGACACCCTAAAAACATTGTACAGGAAGGAATAGGAGAAACCCTAGGTCTCCTTGGCACAGGCTGAAATTTTCTTAATGAAGACTCAGAAACACAACAAATCAAAGAAAGGTTGGACAAATGGGATTGCATTAAATTGCAGAGCTTCTACATGGATCAGTAGAAAGTCCATGGACAGGGAGAAGATCTTCACACTAGCCATACAACAGACAAGAGTCTCATATCTAAAATAAACTTAGAACTCAAAAAATTAAATCCCCCAAAACAAATCCTCAAATCAACAACTGCCCCATTAATAAGTGAGCTAAAGACTTCAATGAAGAGAAAGTAAGAATGGCCAAGAGACACATGAAGAACTGCTCAACTTCTGTGGCCATAAAAGAAATGCAAATCATAACATTGAGATTCCAACTCATCTCAGTTAGAAGGCTATAATCGAGAAACCTAATAATCAGATGCTGGAGAGGATGTGGCCAAAAGGGAACCCTACCGCACTGTTGGCAGGACTATAAAATTGTTCAACCACTCTGGAAAGCAGTATGAAGGTTCCTCAAAAGACTAAACAGTGCTCCCCTGTGACCTAGCAATCCCAATTCTGGGCATTTACCCAAATGATCACAAACAAGGCCATACTAAAGCTACCAGCACAACTGTGTTTACTGAAGCACTATTCACCATAGCTAAGATATAGAACAGCCCAGATGCCCCTCAGTAGATTAATGAATCAAGAAAATGTGGGGTGTATGCACGCATGTGTGTGCATGTGTGCGTGTGTATGTGTGTGTAGGAATTCTATGCTTTCATCAGAAAGAATGACATCACCCTATTTGTAAGGAAATGGA